AAGTTTACCTCACTTCGGAGGGGCCGGTGCCGGCAGGGCCGCCGCTCCCCTGCCCTCGCCTCGGTTTTCACCCGGCGGCGAGGGGCGAGTGACCGGGGGGGAAGGAGCCCGGGTGCCGTGTCCCTCCGGCCCTGCTGTGTCATTGTGGACCGGGGGGACGGCTGCTCGCTGCCGAGTGAAAACCTGTGGGTGACGGAGTTCAACGAGAAATGGGTCAGATCGCATCCTTTAGTGCGGATATGTCTGCTGCTGGAAGAATCGGAAAGTAGGGAGGATGAGATGGAAAAAAGGTTGCCATTAAGATAATGTCAGTGGAGTGCATTGATCAGTGCTTTTGTCTGCGGGCAGTGTCTTCATTTCCATTCATTTTTCTCGGCATGGGTTTACCAAACTGAAGCCGATGAATTCTGCTGCGACTGTAGGTCTGTTATAGGCAGAGACTGATAAATGCGTAAGTTTCATCGTAATACTGTGATTGTTTCAAGGAGTGATCCGCGTTTGCTAGGCGGTAAAACACATGCGTTTATATTTTATTGAAATCCGAATAATTCTCTGAGTGGTCAGATACCCCAAAACAGATTATAATCATAAATAAAAAACAAAAAAATGTTGCCATGTCCTGGATTTGAGCTGTGTTTCTTCAACTAGTTGTACTATAGTTTGGTTTTGTTAGAACAGTAAGACAATGAAGGAATGTAAACCAGCAATGCAATAAATGAATGCAACAACTATGTCACGCCACATATTTGCATGACTAGAGCTGCAATTTCATGAGAAATTCAAGGTGTTTTGGAAAAAAGATATCTCTAACTGGAGACCGAGTTTGTCATATTTGCCTCCTATACTTTTAGGTTTGTTACGGTTTGGTAAAATCTGCCCTATTGTTTTAATCAAAAGAGAGTATCAACGACTGAACATTTGAACAGGGCTAGTATGGCTTCATAAGGTGGATATAAGGCATTATTTTTAAAATGGTAATGTGGTTTACATATTGTGATAGAGTAACACAGAATTTAATCTCCCTTGAGTTTATGAATATTTCATTTTGTCGTGACTGCATGTTACTGTACGAGGCTAAATTATTTGTGGGTGTGTGATTGTTTCTAGGATTCCTTTCTTTGCATCGTGTTACTTACTGGAAATTAAAATGGTTTTATTTCAAAATAATTAAAATGTAGAGCCAAGGTTGCCATTTACACGAGTTGGTTGTACCAGCGCCTTGAGCATTTAAAAACCCTGCCATCAGCAGAAATCCATGCTCAATAGTTACTTTCTGATCTGCCACATTGTCTGTCTAATGTTGTACCAATCGTGGACATGAGGAAGGCAAACGAGGTGTGACTGAAGGTGAACAAATACTAGAGAAGGCCTGATTCTCTATGGTGTGGCTAATTAACATGTTTAGATAACTCAGTATTGCACTGTTTTATTCTGTATTTGCCAGCATTTTTTGGACATAGAAACAAAAGTAGTACCTTTTTTTTCTGTCCTAGTTGCAGTCATGCTAAAATATTGTGATATATTTCTTTTTTAAAATCCACTATCAGCTTTTCCAGGCTTGCCACTGCCAAGGTGGTTGCAATGACTACCTTGTATTTTTGGGAAGTGCTGTGATATTTCAGATCTCCTTAAATGTATGTATCTTTTCTGGATATTGTCCCAGGACAACCAGTACTTCTTATTAGTGCAGAAGTATTTCAGATATCTGGTAAAATAGTGGCACCAGAAATGTGATGAGAAGGGAAAAACCCATTAAAGCGATAGTACAATCCAACACTATTGCGAAAAAAACATTTCAACCACAAAACAAAACCCAAATATTGCTGGAAACATCATCTAAGAACTTTCTGAATTGATTGAAATATCAGTATCCTGGTTTATTTAACCCATAAATAAATGTCAGAGGCCCACTGATACATCCTAGAAGCGTAAGCACTCTTTGTGGAAATTGCAAAGGACATTGGAACGTGATATTCTGACATATGTATACTTTTGAATAACTAAATGTTAAGATTTTACAACATCTCGTGATTCCACTGTCAGGACTTACTTTTTAGGATCATGCTTCAATTATAAAAAGTCTTATATTTTATCATTGAGTTTCATTTCCACTGGAGGTAAAAACAGTTTTGCTTCCATCTAAATGGAGTGGTGTCAAATTTACACTCTAATAAAGCTGGGTTTTGTCACTGCCTCCAAAAGGAACATTGATGAATTAACCAAAGAAAGTATTTTCTTAATTCTATGGAATTTCAGTAGACAGTACTACCTAGTGTCAATTATCTGGATATTGGAATTTTTTTCTGCTGCATGTTCTTTTTTCATTTGTCTTTGAACTTCAATAAAATTGTGAAACACGTACATAACTTGAAATATATCGCAGTGTCTTCAGCTGACATGCTGAAGTGTATGCTTAAGTGCTTTGTTGGAGGAAGACCTAGGTTACCTCCCATATATCTTTCTGTGTTGAAACCATCTCTGAACCAATGTATGCGAAGAGAAATTATGAAGATTGACTTTATAATTTATTAAGTATACAGCACTTGGTGCTTTAAAGCATAGTTGCCATTTAGGTGGGAGAAAATTAAGCAGAAATAGTAATGTGTAAGGTTTAGAAGATGGCTGACTCTCTATGGATACTATTTTTTCTCTTAAAGCAAAGCACATCAGAAAATATTTTTTCAACACTCCTACGATGTTTTCTGTTATTTTAGTTAAAAACGTGTAGGTCTAACCCTATATACAGCAGCATGTTGACGTTCTCCAGTATGGCAAAGTGGGTGACTGGGGGAGAGAACAATGTGCAATCCTGACTGTTTATTCCTGACTGGAGGTGCAGCTGAAGCCTGTGACAGGTTGTGTGGGTGGGCTGTCACACCCTCTTGCCACTCCGTGACTTGGTGTAAGGGGATGCAGGTCCATAAATTTTACCAGGGATTCTTTCCAGCTTGTGTTGGAATGATAGCACCTTGGCAAGGATTGGTGTAGGGAGCACTTTGAGAGTTGAAGGCAGCTCTGCAATTCCTTTTCAGATCGGTGACTATGGGTGACATTTGTCACAGCTGACATCATGACCAGAATTGTCCCAGGGGTGGTACCCTGAGTTAGGGCTTTCAAGGCCTTAGCTACAGCCAGTGTGTTAGCATTTCCATTTTCTGGAGTACTGTGTAACCCCCAAGTCTTCCAAAAGTTGGTCCTAGGTATGGATTTGGTAATGTAACATTGCATACCCAAAGAAGAGCATTTTATTTTGTTTTCCACTGAGGAAAACCTCTGCATGTCTGAGGTTTGCACAAATCATTTAGCACAAATGATTTACAAGCACACCCAGAGCTTTCGCTTTATACTTACATTCCACATACAAAACCCCCTGTGAAATAGCTCCAAGGTGAAGAACTTTCTGTGTATTTACATGGAAATGAGCACATCAAGGTTACAGCAAAAGCAAGCCTATCTGGGCTGGGTACATTGTATTCTGGTTCAAAAACAATTTGCCAGTGTTTGATATAAGAGTTCTGAAGTGTTTTGTGGGCTTATTTGTATGTCTTTTCCCACAATTCTCGCCTGCGATATTGCTGTGTGAGAGTGGTACCCAGGTGTGAGCTTCTAGAGGGGAAAAGCTGAGTGCTTTGGGGAAAGGCACTTGGTATTAACTTGGGAATTCTGTTCTGCTGTACACGTGACCTGATCTAATCGTCAGTCTCTGAAAGCTTTCTGCTAGTGTATTTACAGGGCTACTGCTGTCAACAATACGGTGGTTGTTCACTCATTCTCCACAATTGGTAGGTCAGAAAGAGTGGAAGACTCTTAAGGGGCAATTCTTTTCTAATAATTTCTCTTACGTATTTAGTTTGGTTTGAAAAGCCGTATGTTACTATGTGTTTACATGTAGAGAAGGCCTAAGAAACACAGTTTATGCTTGAAACAGATGAGGAGAGGTTTCTTTTTGGCGGTCTCAGGTCAGGTCTGCTTATCTTACCTTAGGCAATTCCACTGTGCACAGAAGAGTCGTTGCCAACCACTGTCTTCTTCCTGGAGGTTTAGATGTTTTTTCAGATAACTTGGACCCAACCCATTGAGCAACTTGAAGTTAAGACCCAAAAGCTGAAACTGAAATCAGCACTGAATAAGGGGAACAAGTCTGTAGAGTGTGCAACAAAGAAAGCAGAGACAGACAACGTTACCAGTTGCTGGTGGTAGCAGCTTCTTCTCATAATCATATAAAATGCAACACTTTCTATTAGCTGGAGTTTCCAAATACTGAAGGCTTTGTGCCAGGTGTATCATGGGCTATGGTCCTGCCAAGATGAAATGCAGGCATGAGTAGTCAAGGTCAGGCCATGGTCTCCCTGGATGGAGAAATTCTTAGCCACCCAGAGATGGCAGAAAATTTTATTTGCAGTTGTTGCTATTCTAAGAGTTTGATGTCAGACAGAAACTCCAGTGTATCTTTAAAGAGAGCTGGAGAATAATGGGTCTTTCTCTAAATCATTGCTAAGAATGTTTCAAAAATCATTCCTAGCCCAGCAACAGCAACTCTGTCTTTTTCAGGTCCACTTTTAAGCACCTATTCTTCATTCTTAAGCTGCTCCTTACTGTGCTCTGGGCCATTGTGATATTGGTATTGATCTGCATAGTTCAGTGTCTTCCTGATGAAATGGTCTGAAAAAATGCTTATTCTGTGCTAGCACCCT